AGATTGCTTTTAGAAAGCTTAGTTATAAAACAGATACTTTGCAATATCCTTGGTTTTATCTATTGAAACAAAATTTTGAAGAAAACGGAAAATTTATGCTTGATGTAGTTTTTTTATTCAGTCATTTTTAGCAATCGAAGGCATAGTTTTAAAGAAAAAAACACAAATTATTGAGGATATCGACTCCAAAATCAAATTAAAAAAGTTCCCTCGGATTATTTTTGCAGAGTTTAAGGAGTTTGAAAATTGCCAACGAGGTCTTATTTTGGAATAATTTAAGCGCGTTTTGAAGAACTAATTGATGATGACGAGAACGTAATATGTATGCGCGTCAAGATATTGTGCATAAAAAAATCGCTCCTAATTGAACTGAGGCCAGCTAATTGGTCGTCTTAATTTTAACTGTTTTTTTTTAACAGACTCAAATATTGACACTTTATTTTTATGTTGTCTAATTTGATATAAGCCTATAGGTTTTCCGTATTTAATTTCCCAAAAACTTTTAAATATAGATTTAGGGGCAGTTGGAGCATTCAGAGATCTGCCCTGATATACTAGCATACTTATTGCAGACATTATGAGGCCAACTGTGCCTTATGTGCATGTTAAACACATAACGCAACAGACAATAATCAGATTTGTCGCGGAAATCGCAATTTTGGTATTTTTTCTTGATCTTCTTCGCTGTTTTGGATTCCGCAAACAAATACCCAAAACAAGTTAATGCTCAAAATTTCTCCGAAAAGAGGCGGTTTTGCGGAATCCGCAATTTTACTTGCGAAATCCAGAACAGTTTGTGGACTCCACAAACAAATAATAGGAGATTTTTATACTTAATTTAAGCTGTTGCGGATTCAGCAACTGTACGCGGAATCCGCAAATTGTAAGTGGAATCCTCAAATTGTAAGTGGAATCCGCTTTTTGTTTGCGGATTCCGTTTACATATATGTATATGTCTAGTATAGCGTTTAAAATAATATCTTTTAATTTCTGGTCACCAGAAAAATCAATCTCAATTACTACATTGATCAACTACCATTTGAAATATCAATCGTTTGGTATCAATTCCTGTCAACCCAACCTCGATCTCAAATCCTCAAATCTTGTCAACTTTGATCTGAACTTCGATACCAATTACTGATGCAAAATTTAATACTGACCTAATTTTGCGATATGCTGTTGTATTTCCATACACTCTGAACCCAATGACTCCAATTGAACTTATTAGGTGTTGTGTTTCCAAAATACTAAAAGGTGATATATACCAATTTAGTTAAACAACGTTTTGAGATTTGTTCGTGGATTGCGCTGACAATGGTTAAGTCCTTGCCTTCCGCGTTGCTATAAAAAAAATTTCCAGCTCTCGCTTTTAATTATTCATATGCAAGTTCAGTAATGAACAAAATTATGAATCCCTTACAGTTTGCGGAATCCGCTTATATTTGCGGATTCCGCTTCCAAATTTTGCGGATTCCACTTACATTTGCGGATCCCACTTACATTTTGTGGAATCCACTTACAGTTGCGGAATCCACAAAAGCTAGCTATATTCGCTTGTTGCGGAATCCGCAGCAAAATATATTAGCCGACAAAGTTTACGTTACAGGTATTTTTCACGCGGAATCCACGGAAGTTTTGTAAGTGGAATCCAGAGACATTTTGGAACATGTCTAAAGGTTTGCCTAATGAATCCAGGGACATACAGACACAAAATTGTGCGCCTATCCAGTACACAGTTTGGCCTCGTAATGTATACAGTTTATTATGCATTTTCAAAGTTGCTGTGAAGAGGGCAAGATTCTGCAATAGGAAATAAATCTTTGCATCAACTATACTGCAATTTAAAATTTATAGTGATTTTATACTAAAAATTTTGATCATTCTGATAAATAACACTTAAAATACATTGTTCTCAATGCGTAAATAGAGTGAACCGGATTCTAAAATAAACTGATGCAGCTAGTTGTTCGAAGTATTATTTTACCATATGCTAGTTATGTCGCTCTGTACTGCATAAAGCGCGTTGAGGAGGATTTAAAAAACTCCATTTTTCGGTGTTTTAATATTTTAATTCCTCGACCCAGTTTTTCAAAAAAATTCACTTTGTAAAATTTGATCACTTTTTCGCACGGCTACGTTTTTTTGCAAATTAAAGTATCAAAGTACTTTAAATAATCTTTTGCAAGCAATTATCTTGTTCAAATTGGAAACAGAAATATGTTCTAACGGAGCCAGATATACCAAAAAAAGGTTTATTAATCATTTAAAGTCTTATGGAGAAACGTTTGCGAAAAAAAACTTTTTTTTTGAATTCTACGTGAAAGCACCTTTTCTTTATTTATCTTCCTCCTTGAGTCACTCTGCTATTGCAATCATTGCAGTAATGACTTGTTATTGGTTGATTTATTTGGCTGCTTTGCAGTTCCCTCCTTTGACTTAATTTGTAAGTTTGACATATGACAACTTACTTAAAACTAACTTTGATTATCTGAACTGTTAAGAAAACGTATCAGAGAAACAACTTTTTTAAATGCAAATTCTTTGTCATTTTTAAGTTCAAAAGTCTGTATGGGCAATTTTGAAAAGCATTCCGTTGTATCTTTACTAGGTGTTGGAAAACTAACTGCTGTAGAGCACTTTAGCCCCCAGACAATTTTAATCCTCCAAAATACAAAATAAACTGGCTGAGGAGCTTTAAATTTTAAAATTAGCTAGGGCTTTCTAATAACTTGAATTTTTAAGTGCAAAGGGAAATGTTTAGTTCGAACAAAAAAAAATACGTCCACATTTTTATGGAGTCTTATTGAAACATAAATGGTGCGACGCATTGTTACACATTTTGGTCCACCTTGGATACTAGTTTTTGTAATTTGATACATTTACTCGCGCAATACTTAAATAATATGACATTTTCTGTAATGTTAACGCTGTTTTGGTCCGGTTTTTGAAAAAAGACAGAGTATTTTGAGTTGGTTTTTTCTACTGACAAAATTCGTTTTCTTAACTAACTTTTTTGAGTCTTTTATATAATTTGTGTCCTGAGCGTTTGAAAGTTGCCAGTTTGGCCAATTGGAGATAATTATCACGCAAAATACTTTGTTTTCAATGCGTAAATAGTAATTTGAACTGGATCAAATGTTGTTCCAAAATAAACTGATGCAGTTAGTTGTTCGATTTATTAAGTTACCAAATGTTAATTATGCCTCTCTGTACTGTACATAGCGTGTGGAAGAGGAGTTAAAAAACTCCAATTTTTGAAATTTTAATTTTTAAATTCCTCGCCCCAGTTGTTCAAAAAGTTTTCACACGGTAAAAATTTGATCACTTTTTCGCACGGCTACGTTTTATTGCGAATTAATGAGTCAATTTTTTTTTGAATAACTTTTTGTGACGCGAATTTCAGTAAACACTTATCGGGTTGGGATAGAAAGAGCTCGCTTTGAATGTTTCGACCGCCCTTCAACTTTATGTTCCGACTTTCGATAAAGATTAAAGATTGCCATTTTTTGCCAATTTGGGACAATTAACGCGCGATATGTTTCGTGCTATTAACGCGTGAGCCGAAATTAAATCCGTCTTAGAAATCACTCCAGTTTGGTTGAAGAAAGCTCATTTGTCATAATTGATTCGTTACCAGGAGCGAATTTTATATGGCGTGTGGGAGGATGATTTTCACAAAAAATCTCAGATTCAAAAAAAATTTATTTTAATTTTATTACAATTAATTTTTTCAAGCTATCACTGCTCCATCGACCTTAAAAGGCAGTCGAAACAATCAGGGCCTCGCCCTGATACGAGCAGTCTTTTTGAAGTGGCGATTGGTTCAAGAAAAATGTGGTGAAATTTTTGGGTTTTTTAAAGTTACTTTTTCAATTTTTTCCGGCATCCAAGTTTCGAAAGCTAATTTAAAATAATTTTCAAGATGTAATTGGCAATAAAACGTGCCCGCGTGAAAAAAACGTGAAACGCACAAGTTTTTATTGCACATTTTTTCTTGTTTTTGTTCTGATTTTCGGAATTTTTGTGCTCGGGCTGGGTGCTCGGGGTGAGCACGGAATATTTGTGCTCGTGGTGGTTTTTTTTTCTTCAGACAAAAATTCGACTTTTTAAATCGCCATTTTTGACGGAGTTTTTGTAATATCAATCGGAGGTATTGTTGTCCTGAGCTTAAATTTGAAAAGATATTTTACCTGTGACAATTTTTTGTAATGTTATGGGGGTTTACAGATTGCCATTTCGGCCAGTTTGGGACAAATAACACGCGGTATATTTCGCGCTATTAACGCGTAAGCGGAGATTAAATTCGTTTTGGAAATTGTTCTAAATTTGTTGAAAGAAGCTTATTTGCCATAATTGGTTTGTTACTATGAGCGAAATCTATCACGATGTACTTTATAAGTCATAAAAATCACGAAAAATTTCAAATGAAAAAAAAATTGATTTTATTTGATTTTTTTGTGTTATTACTGCTCCATATACCTTAAAAGAGAGTCGAAACATTCAGGGCCTTGACCTGATACGAGCAGTCTTGTTTAAAATTATAAGTCGTAAGATCAACTTTTGAACAACTCTCTATGGCTCTTTGGTTCCCCCCCCCCTTTGGTTTTTTCCTAAAACCATTGTATGAAAGTCTATTTCAGGTTACTTTTTATGTTAGAAACTGCAAAAAAAACGTATCAGCGTGAACAAGTGAACAAACTTTCACAACATTTCTTAAATGAAAAGTTTTTTGAATTTTTGAACAGCTCAATTTTGTAATTTTACGAGGGAAAAGAGCCCTTTCTATTTTATTTTTGTAAAGGGATTGGAAAACTGGGCGCCCTGATCACCCAGTCTTGTTCTGATTAGCAGGCCTTTCATGCTTTCAAAAGCAAATTTATTGCCAAATAAGCGATTCTAAAAAGAACAAATCACAGCAATTGAATCTTTTGTTTTGCAGTAGTGAAAAAGAGAAGTCCTTGAATGAGGCGCTGAATTTGGTCCTCCTCATCTTGACATACATGCGCAGTTCCTTCACCATCTTCTTGCCCAGTCTCTGCACGTACTCGGCAGACCACAGTCCGGTGTTGACTACCTCAGTGAGAGCACCCACTGCCTCCATTTGAATATAATTCTAATAATTGTATGATCATTTTTTTAAAGAAAAATTACGAACTGATCCAGCTGCTTTTTCAAAAATGCATTCACGAAAAATACGTATTTGCGTTGGAGTTGTGATTCCATATTTGTGATTTGATTATCAATTCAACTGAACCGAAAATATTCATCGGAAAGTGCTAGCCATACAATTTCCATAAACGGAAAAGGGATCTTTTCCAGTTCCCCCCTTTCAAATTCAAATTTGAAAAGTTGATTTAACGTTGTGCAATGAAATTTGGCGTGGTAAACAAATCGACAACTGTGAACAGATTTGTTCTTCATACTTTACAGCGTAACATTACGCATTTAGTCGTAATAACACGTAAAACAAACATAAAACTCGTATTTTGAAAGGGGGGAACTGGAAAAGAATCCGGAAAAGTTATGATATTTTTGGTTTGCATGCGAACTAATTAGGTCATAACAAACATAATTGTTCATCATATTTAACCTTGTACAACCGCTCGTAATGTCACAAAGATGGTGTTTATGTGAGGTGGGAGGAAAATGTCGATTTTTTTTTTCTATTCTGTCATGTACAGAACTGTATGATAAGCGCTTTGGGGTCTTTTCGTTATAACCTTCCAGCAAATTATAGACCACCGTCCTAATCACATTCTATAATAGGAAGGCGTAGGGGGACTATAATTTTTGGCTCTTTTCCACTTGCCTCCATATTTGGTCAAAGTACCTATTTCCATAGTTGTTTTTCGTGTTATTGTTACGAAAGTAACGGAATATTTGTGCTCGGGGTGCTCGTCCATAAACCGTGAAAGGCAGTCGGAACATTCAGTGTTTCGCCCTGATACGAGCAGTCTGGAACCTGATCTAAACTACATTTTATGATTGGATAAATTAAATGTTTTACCAATGTAAAGTATTTAATATTAACCAATCATGATCCATCTAACTAACAACCCACTTATTTGTAAGTGCTGAAGTTACTTGTAATTTCAGCACCAGAGAGATTTGAATTTAACTTAGAAATTAGTTGGACTCTCCCGAGCACTTCAGCAGCCGCAATAAACCAGTATACCCTAGATCTATTGAGCCTAGCAGAGACTAGTTAAACAACCTGAGACTAGATAGTATAAGAGTAAGATTAGGATCGGTATTAGACTAAGAAGTTGCACGAATCTATCCGGCCGAAAATAAGATAGCGTGACGAGCAGACGGTGTACCCTATCCGAAATTACTCTATGAGTTACACTTCGGTCCTAACTCATCTGGTGCGACCATAAGTCTCGAACAAGACCTTAATAGATTAGAATTAACCAAAATAGATTAGAAATTAGACAAAAACATTTACAAAAATGTTATACGACAATAATTTAATCGAAATGTCTCTACGACTCAATAGATCAGAGCCAATATTCCGAACCATAACAGAACTACCCGGAATTGGAAGAAGACCTCGAACCAAAGACGACATACGACAAAGTAGAAACTTGCCGTATAGTTATATGATAGTTCGGCAAAAGCCAGAACAAACTTTTATATTTCGAATACTACTTGCAATGAATTTAGATTTCCATTTGCAAACATAAAACCTTGAAGTTACTCTTCAAAATCATTTCAGGCGCTAAACAAATTTATTAATATACAATAACGATTGATAAAAAGATCTAAGATCGTTTTCCTAAAACTCTGCAGTATTATACAAAACATGTTTGAAAAATATTTATTGGAAAATAAAAATAAAAATTAGTAGCATGACAATAAATGGTTAGTAATCATAAATCATCCTGTTGTTCCAGCTTCATCATCTAAAACATAACAGCAATCATAAACCCACTAATATCATCAAAACACTAAATCTTTCCTTTACACACATTTAAAATTTTATTAAAACTTAAATTCACTTAATTTTAAAACCAGATCATCAAGGCTTATCCTTGGATCTTAAATCATTTTCTACTTAATTAAATTTCAAATTTGATCATCAAGGCTTATCCTTGGATCAAACAGAACAACTTTGTTCTCCCCCACCCACTTAATTAGTGTCTAACGACCTCAAACGTCGATTCACTACCCAACCCTTTCTAAAGACCTAAGACTAATAGAAATTTTTAAACAAAACTAATCATTCAAATTAGGATAAACAGTGAAGAACTTCGGTTATTCATCCTTCACTTGACCCCCCCTCTTACCAGACCCAGGATAAATCTTAGACTTAGTAAGTTTAAAATAGTATCTAACGAACTACTCGCGTTCTAATTATACCTGAACCTTGTGGATCGATTTACTATTCTCCAACCCTTGAACACAATCACTACCCCTAAGTAAGATTAAGTAAGTTAACACCTTAACTTATACTAGCCACGAGAAAGTAAAAAATCATTCTTCGGAATCGATATACTTTTCTCTCCAACCCTGAACAAACAGACCCAGGTTAAGCTAACCAAAAAATCGTAAGAACTAACAGTTTAGGAAAATAGAAATCATTTAACAACCCTTTGCATCCGTCATTCTAAACCTTATGTCATTTAAAAACCTAGGAAATAAACAAACAATCGTTTTACACAATTGTGAAATAGATAACAAAAAATACGACCTTGTAATCACACCTCATACACAAACAGTTGGATACATTCGAACAAAACGACAAACACTAAAAAGAAAAATAATAACGAAACAAAGACAAATAACACGAAAAAGATTTTCAAAAAATCGAAACGCATTTTCAGAATCAGAAACCAACAGTTTAGACGAACTTTACAAACTAAAAGAATCAATAGATAAAAATTGCCCAATTCACGATCAATTATATTTCTCTGACTCAGAAACAACTTCAAATTCATCACAAAGAGGAAAAAGAAGAATAAAAAAGCAGTACAAACACAAACCAGTACATTTATACAATTGGAATCAACCAATTCGACACATTAATAATTACATATTAACAGTAATCGAACGAAAAAATGAGTTCAACGCACACCCCAGGTGAAGAAACTCCAGATGATGATGAAATCTTTCCTTTTATAGTAGACGCAGATACTGATAGAGGACAACACATATTTTGTCAAAATTTACTCGTAAATTTATTTGAACCCGGAATCAGTCCATGTAAAACAGAGTTCCCCGATGTAAAAATCAAAAGACAAATCATAGATCACTATCTAAAAGATATATGCAACATAACACAACAGTATGGAATCTACTCCATAGAATTCACCTCACCAAACCATAATAATAGAAAATATACAATTCAAACAGACGATCTTGATTTAGAATTTTCAAAAGTTTTTTCAGAATATATAAAAAGCATCCAATACCATAACTCACAAAGAGCAAACTCCATATTCACCAATGAAGTTTTCGCAATAATATATAGTTATATTTCGATATTAGAAAACGAAATCCCAATAACAAATGTCTCACCAAAAGAAACATCTAAACATTTGAAAGTACGACATGAAATCACACTACTCTCTAGTTATTTAAACATCATTAAAGAAAATTTCACGAAAGACGACGTTTCACAACATACAAAACACGATCTACAAAAAATTTTGGCATGGTTCATAATAGATTACTTCACACACAATATTGATTTAATTGCACAAGCAAGAAAAAATTTTAGACCCCAAAATTCGAACGATGATACCGCTATCACAGAACAATCAGATTATGTTTGGGACCCCGAATGGTCTCATCCCGCATTTATAAGCTTTCCACAATCAATCTCAAGTCAAGCAATAGGTACAATATCTTACATAAGAGATTATGTAAGAGTAATACCATTAACAATTGATGCAACACCATTAAACTATAATACATTTTTACCCGATACACAAAATAATAGTTTAAACTCTACAGTTATACACAATGAAAACCTCAATGGAACTAGGAATCTTACTCAACAAGATATCCAGACACCATCACACTTCATAAATGAAGAAATTGTACACACAACAACTACACAACAAAGTATTTCACCAATACGCCCAAATTTAACAACACCAAGAAATACAAATCCTTCACAAACACAGGTAACCTTACAATCAACCGTTAAACCTTCAGTTGCCCCTAAATATTCACATATGGATTACCAAACATACAGACCCATGACAATACCACCAAAAACACGCAAAACATTCACTAGAAACAACTTTGCAGACCATAATTATAATTATACACATCCATCAAAAACATATAATCAACCACAAAGAAATTTTAACCAATATACAAGATCTCGAAATTGGGATAACCCAATGGCCCAACCTAATTCAACAAATTTCCAAACAAATCCTCCACGGGATCACAGTGAAAATTACCCATTTTTTCAACAAAATAAAAATAAAAAACAGACATCTTATCAAATGGATTATTTATCCTCAGATGATGATTTCTTACAACCAGATATATTTGCACAAAATACTCAAGAATATCGTAGACAAGGAATACAGAGAACACGTACAAATCATAGAAATTTTTCTCCACAACCAATAGATGCACAAAATCAACAACCAATTCAACAACAAAATCCAATTAATACACAATCTTTTCAACCAATTCAACAACAAAATCCAATGACTGCACACTCGTATCAACCATCACAAATGCAAAATGAAATACCACTCCCATATTATCTCCAACAACATGAGATAACAAGAAACCAACTTTCAAATTTTTCTCAAATGCCAAATGCAGCAGAATCATTACAAATGACAATGAATCCATACCTTATGGGTGGATCATCAATAACATCAAACAAACCTTTAATGGTTTTCACAGGAACAGACCCTGAATACTCTGTAGAAGATTATTTAAATGCAGTAACAGCAAACCTGATTTTAAATATTGGACCTGAACCAATTAATACGCCACTACATCAAAATTGGATACATCGACGCACAGCGTTAATACAAACAACCTTAGATGGCGCAGCCCAAAAATGGTTTTCAGTACTACCTCTAGAAATAAAATCAAACTGGAAAAGATTTACACAAGAATTTTCAA